ATTTGTCGTTGGTTTTTATTCCATAGGGATGTTGCGTAAATGCTCCCATGATAACGGTTGCTGACTACTCCAACGGATCCGAGGGTTACACCTATAATTATTTTGTAAGTACCTATCATTTTTTTTTCCAAATTTGGAACCAAATATAGTTTGATTTTCTTCTGCCATTAAAGAATACAGAAAAATCACGTGGGCCTTTTTCGAAATGTCTCAGGAAGATGTCACTCCAAAACGAGTTGTTGAGATTGTCGAGGCTTTGAGAAGAGGGGAGAAGCCACAGGTAAGTAACGACTATTCTTGCTGTATACTTACTAAGGCTGTTTACCTAGTCAGTTCCTTTTATCATCATAACCTTTTTTTTTCTTCGTTTTTCTTATTCTTATTTTAAACAGCGTGGTACACAAAATCCGAAACGTATAAACTCCGGTCCAGAGGGTGGGAACACTACATTGTTAGGTGAGCCCAAGGCTCCTCCATGTCGGGATCTTGATGCATGCTGAGCATGGTGATTTTTTTAGTTAGTTTGTCTCTAATAATGATGAAAACTTCGTTTGTAAGCCGAGGATTATTTGAACGATTTTTCAGATGTTATTTCATTTTTATTTTTTTTGGCTCGTCGTGCTCGGGCATGAATGTGATGAGTTCAAAATTCTTAATCAGTATCAAGGTCCTGATTAGTGGTGTATTTTTTATTTGTATATTTCATAGTAATGTGGCAATTCACATAAAAAATAAAAATAAGAATTGCACTCAATTTTTTGAAGAGACATGATTCTTAAGATCCCTTCTTGCACACTTATTCCGTAAACTACACAATCTTTAATTATTTTTTGTTTTGGTTACCAATCCTCTCAAGAATGCCAGGACGTTCTTCCTAAATCTTAAAAAAAAAGATTAAGGTATTGCATCAGCATGAGGTCACCTTCACGAAAGAAAGGTACACGCCATTTACGAAAATATCCGAACTTTCTATAATGCCATCATACAACACAAGATTAAGCTGCTTTTTCAGGACCCCACTTTCTCTTTTTTTCCACCCTTAATGAAAGAGAAACTTTACAATAATTTGTGGCAACACAATAATGATCAA